GGGTTCGTGTGTGGCTGCGCACAGAGGACCTTAGGCCTGAGGTGTGCGGGGAGGGGGCGAGGGGTAAAGCAGGGCCCTGAGGATCAGCCTGGGCGACGGAGCTGGAGTGGCAGAGGTGGGGAAGGCGTGGTGGGGCACCAGGGTTGGCGCTGCTGTGACCGAGGGACCAGGGGGGCGTGTCCAGGGCCGGGGCCCAGGTGCCTCCAGCAAGCGGGCTGGGGGCTGTGCCAGCCCAGGGCTGGACCGGCTGCGGCTGAGGGGTGGGTGGGTGGGTGTGAGGGGCTCAGGAGGTGAGAGCAGTACTTGACGGGTGGTGGGACAGAGCCGCCCAGTATGTCTGGAAGGCCATCCGGAGGCCAAGGGTAAACTGAGGCTGGGGTGGGCCGGCTCGATGAAGCTGGCTGCCTCACGAGGGGCGGTCACGGCTCAGATGCCCGTCTGGCGGGTTCTGGCTCTGCTCGGAGCCCACCTCACAGCCCTGTCATGTTTTCCTCCTACACGTGCCTTGTTGGTGAACCTGCTCCCTTGTTCACTGTCTGTCTCCCCTCGAGACTATAAGCTCTGCGGGGCGGGGACCACGTTTGTCTCATTTGTGCTGTGAGGTGCAGGGAATGGCGGAACAGGGCAGGAAAGGAAGGAAGGAGGGTGACGGGTGGATGCATCGTAGGGGGATACGGCTGGGTCACATCAGGGGTGGACGGTCTTGACGGCAGGGTCCGAGCTGTGGCTGCAGACGGGTGACCAAGGTGGGGGAGGGCGGTGGCTCAGGTGGCCCCACAGGTGCTCTCACCTCTTCCCGAGGGTGCGGACCCCGCCTGTACCCTGTGACCGAGGGCTGTGGGTGACCTGCAGCCCTTGCAGGATGACTGACTTCAGGGGCTGCCGCCCAACTCCCACGCCTGACCCGTGTGTGCAGGGGGCCCTGGGTGACATGGGAGAGCCCCCAGGAAGCTTGCCAGCCCTCTGGGGAGAAAGGCCTGGGCCAGGGGCAGTCTGGGACCTGTAGCTGCAGGGGGCTTGGAGTGAATCAGTCAGGCGTGCTGCCTGGAGGAAGCGGCAGGGCCTGCTTGACAGCCATGGGTGGGCACTCTGCCACTGGTCTCCCTCCTTGCTTGTCACTCTGCATCTTCCTTGGGGACCAACTCTTGGGAGGACCCACCCCGCCCTTCTCTGAGGTTCTCAAAACGTAGGCAACTATTTTTTATTTATTTATTTATTTATTTATTTATTTATTTATTGCGGTACGCGGCCTCTCACTGTTGTGGCCTCTCCCGTTGCGGAGCACAGGCTCGGGACGCTCAGGCTCAGCGGCCATGGCTCACGGGCCCAGCCACCCCGCGGCATGTGGGATCGTCCCAGACCGGGGCACGAACCCGTGTCCCCTGCATCGGCAGGCGGACTCTCAACCACTGCGCCACCAGGGAAGCCCTCTTTTTATTTATTTTTAAAAATGTAGACCTGGGCAGGAATCCAGGAAGGCTTAATCGGGGCTCTCTGGGTGTGCGCCTATGGTAACACGTGTGGTTTACAGACAGGGCCCGAGACTGAAGCTCACTCTACCCTGGGCTCTGGAGGAAGCCTCCTGCTTGCCCACAGCAAACCCACCAGAAGTTACCATCCCAAGGGTCTTAGCTCCAAATGGTCCCCTGAGGAGTGTTGGGCTTCCTCCAGCAAACAGTCGGCCCAGTTGGGCCCCTACTCCGACCTGGACACCTCTCTGAAGCCAGGGCTTTGTGTCCCCAGGGCAAGATGGGGACAGTCGCAGGTGGACTGGCGGGGTGCATGGCGGGGACCAGCAGCCAGGTCTGTGTGATGGCAGGGCCCCTGCCCACCCCGTGACACCATGGAGTTCACCTTCAGGCTGCACCATTCTGGGCTTCGTTGTGACTGTAATGTAGGGGGTGACTGACAGGGGAAAAGTGCAGGGAGTGACAGAGCAAAGCGCACACCCAGGGCACTGAACGGCAGCTTGAACCTTAGCCTCGCTCGTGGCTAACAGCCAGCAGAACTCCCCTGGTGCCCCTCACCCACGGGGCCGCTATCCCTTCCCTGCAGAAATCAGCCCTCCCGGCTATTAAAGGTGAGTCCTTCCCCCTTGGCCCCTTCTGCGTGCTCAGCCAGTCAAGGGAAAGGTGGCTCAGGTCAGCCCGTGGTTAGGTGCTCTCTGGGAACTGGGTGGCTGCCGACAGGAGGGTGTGGCCCCTGCCCTGGTGGAGTTCACGGCCAGTCCCCTGGGTGTGGCCACCACACCTGTCCCTCCTGCCTTATGCCCAACGGTAGCTGATGTGAACTGATGGCATATGGCTCAGAGGGTGAATCATCCCGTTTCTGTTTCCTAAGCATGGGAACTCGGCGGCCCGGGGTCCCAGAGGAGCCCTCAGTCTGTGGGGAAAATAGTGCCTCAAGAGCCAAGCCTGGCCCTGGAAGGCTTCCTGGAGGAAGGGAGACATGAGCAGGCCAGTGGTTTTCTGAGTATCTGATGCTCTGTGCAGCTAGCTGGCCGCTGTGGCGGATGCTGCCTGGACGTGGGGCGTCCAGGCTCATCCTCTCCCTGGCCCAGAGGTCACACAGCCTGCTGGGACCACAGAGTCGATTTGGTGAAGACAGTCCTGGTCTAGGGTGTGGCGCTAGTGCCTCTGGGCCTCAGCGTCCCCAGCCAGCGCTGTGGAGGAGCAAAAGTGGGGGACCCTGTAAGCGGTGCCATCTGGAGGTCGGCTCCCAGACGGAGAGACTGGGTGCCGATGGGTGCTCTTTAAACTAGGGTCCTTTAAGCCGCCCCAAGCACTTGCCCCCACCAGTGCCAGACTGGCTCAGGGTCAGAGACCCTGACCCCCGGGGCGGGGGCTGGGCGGTGTGCGTGCGTGTGGTGCGTGTGCGCGTGCGTTGGTGCGGCCGGGCGCACCCCGTGCGCACCCACCGGCGCCTCGAGCTCAGCGCCGCGGCCCGGCCCGCCGCCGCGTGTCGTTGCAGCGCGCTGCAGGAGCAGAAGGGCGAGCTGCGCAAGCGGCTGTCCTACACCACGCACAAGCTCGAGAAGCTCGAGACCGAGTTCGACTCCACCCGCCACTACCTGGAGATCGAGCTGCGCCGAGCGCAGGAGGAGCTGGAGAAGGTCACGGAGAAGCTGCGCAGGTAAGGGGGCGGGGCCTGGGAGGGGCGGGGCGCGGGGCCGGCGACCTGCCGCTAGCAGAGCCGTGTCTCCCACCCGAGCTGGTGACCCCATTCGTACACGGGGAGTCCAAGGCTCAGCGAGGGCAGGCGGCTCTGACAAGAGTCGCGCTTTGTGCCAAGAGCTGCCAAACCAGGATCTGAACTGGCGCTGGCTACTGCCGGGTACAGGCTCTTCCCAGGCACCTCTGTGTCCCCTGCTCATTCCTTCTCTTGCATTTATGTGGTGGGGCAGCAGCATGACACAGAAGCAGCCATCTCCAGACCCAGACCCCAGCCACTGTCGCCCAGGTCTCTGACCGGGAAACGATGTCCAGCCTTGGAGGTGAACCAGCATTTAGAGACGGTTCCCTTGAGCAGCACAGCAGCCAGTGACAGCAGGCTAGGTGTGCGGGACCCTGAGCAATGACTCCCTTAAAAACAAAACTTCTGTAAACATCGTGCTGCACGTGTAAGATGGATATTCTTCTAAGAAATATTACACGCTTTCCAGGCTTCTTTTAGGAAGAATGTAAAGAAAACGTAAACTTTGCAGTTGGCTTGGTTTGTTTTAAATGTTTATAGAGCATTGGATTTGCAGTGAGGCTGTTTGTCCCTTACTACTTAAGCACCTCCAGCCTCAGTTTCCCCACTCGCAAGACAGGGGCAGTAACACTACACATAGGTTGTCAAGAGGATGGACGCCGCCCCTTCCACCGTCACACCGCATGGCGGCAACGGCTTCCCACCCAACACCTGCCTCCGTCTCGGCCTCTTCAAGGGAGAACCGTATCCCATTCACTGTGTGTCCCCAGCACTCACCCCAGGGCACATCACACAGTCTTAAGGTTAGACCCCTGCTAAACTGCTAGTGAACTGTAAACCCTTTCGCCAGCCTTGTAAGGACTGTGTGTAAACCGTGAGTTAACCGGCTCTGAGTGAGGACCCGACAGAGTCCCTTGTGAATAACAGGCCTTCCCTTTCTCATCTACAGGGGTGCTCGGCCCTGGCCCAGGAAACGTTGCAACAAGTTAGCTTCAATCAGATGCTTTCTAGCACAGGAGCAGTTAGAGCAGGGTGGGGCCCGTGCTCAGCCCTCAGCGGGCTGTATGGCTACAGGGGCTGTGGGAGGGTCAGGCCTGGCACAGCAGTGACCTCAAGGCCTCCGTTCCAGGATTCAGAGCAACTACATGGCGCTGCAAAGGATCAACCAGGAGCTGGAGGACAAGCTGTACCGCATGGTGAGGGCACGCCACACACCCCCACACCCCAGCACTCCCAGCCCTGGGCCCCCAGCTCTGGAACCATGGTGAGGACCTCAGGCCTGGTGGTCATGCCCTTGCCCGTGAGGAGCTGGGCCAAAGGCCTCGTTTCCACCCTGCCCGCTCCCTGCTCCCCGGGGTTGGGCCAGTCCCACCTGTCTCTGCCCCGACTGAGTGCTCTCCAGCACTCACCTATCACTGTCCCCACGGTGCAGAGGAGAGACTGAAGCTCAGAGAGGCAGTGACTTGCCCAAGGCCGTCTGGCTCCTCCCTGGCAGAGCGGGACTGGAACATGGGCTGCTCTGTGCTCTGACCCTTGCGTGCCTTGGCCTCCAAACGCCTCCTCATTATTGGCTGCGAGAGGGGACCCAGGAGGCCCCAGGCCTTGGCTGGCTGCTGAGCACCTCCCTCTTCTGCCTGCCCCCCACCTGCAGGGCCAGCACTATGAGGAAGAGAAACGAGCGCTTAGCCACGAGATCGTCGCCCTCAACAGCCACCTGCTGGAGGCCAAGGTGACCATCGACAAGCTATCGGAGGACAACGTGAGTGCTGGGCCATTCTGACCCTGGCGCAGGGCCGGGTGGACAGACGGGATGGTCAGGACCTCACGGAGTACCTGGGCAGTCGGGGAAGGACGGGGGCTGCCTCACAAACTGCATCCCGCGAGACCCTCTACTGGAAGGAGATGGGACTTGAGATAGGGAGCATGGGGCCACGCTGTCCCAGTCAAGGCAGGGCTTCCTGACCCCAGGGTTGGGGCGTGGCCACTCAGGACTCCTGCCTTCGGCCACTCGCAGTGGACATCAGAGTCCTGTGGCTACCCGTGGGTCCTGACTTCCAGGGTCCCGCGAGAAGGGCCCTGCTGCCCTCCACAGACCCGTCAGCTGAGCACACACTCACTGATTAGCATCTGCTCCTCGCCGGGCCAGACCCTACGAGGCTCTGAGAATACGTGTGAACAACACAGGCAAGCGCCCTGCCCACGTGGAGTTTACATCTGAGCAGGGGAGTGGGGAGGGCGGACAGTAAACAGGATAGATATGTCAGCTGTGTAGTGGCTTAGAAGTGCTAAATGCTGCAGAGAAAAACAAAGCCGGGGATGGTGCTGGGAGTTGCCAGTTGCAGGGTTAGGGAATCTCAGTCGGGTGCTTCTGGAAGAGGCTGCTGGAGCTGAGACCTGAAAGCGATGAGGGAGCTACAGCCTTGGGACAGCGGGGAAGGGCGCTTCCTCAGGCAGAAAGAGCCACAGCGGCAAAGGTGGGTCTGAGTAACTTGAACACCAGCAAAGAGACCAGAAGGGGCTCTTGTGGGGAGGAGAGGCCGAGGGTCTGAGATCAGAAGGACAACAGGAGGCCACGTTGTATAGGCTTCGATAGGAATCGGGGGGGTTTTCTTTTTGAGTGAAGAAAGGAGCCACTGAAGGTTCTTGAACAGAGGGGTAGCCTGACTGAACTTAACTCTTACTGGGCTCCAGTGGCTGCTCTGCTGAGGACAGACCATAGAGGACAAAGCCATGAGCGGGAAGGTCAATGAGACAGCAGTCTGGGAGAAAGACGACGGTGGCTTGGCCAGGATGGCGGCCAGGGAGGTGGGAAGCAGGGGGCTTGGATTCTGGTTATTTTTTGAAGGTGGAACCAAAGTGATTGACCGATTTGGGATGTGGGTTATGAGAAGAAAAAACGGGTCCAGCCCAACTGCAGGGGTCAGAGTCTGCTGGAAGGGAGCCACCTGGGACCTTCTGGGGGAGACTTGGGAGGGGTGGCAGGCGTGGGGCTGGAGCCGGGCCCTGGACAGCCAGGTGGAGATGCCACAGGTAGATGGCGGAAGAGTGCACAGAGATGAGGGGCAGCTCTCAGAAGACTGTTAACAACTTGGTGGCAGGTCTGGGCTGGCCAGACAGTGCCTGCAGCCCTCTGATGCCAGCGGCAGCCAGTCTGGGGCCTCACAGGAGCCCAGTTCTCAGCTCTCAACCAACTATACCCTTTCAGGGATGCATTGAAGGAGTGGGAGACCCGGGTTCCTTCCACTGTGCAGGCCAAGCCGGGGCACCAGCCTCAGTACAGAAGGTGGAGGGGCGGCAGCCTCCAGGACCAGGGTCGGGGGACGGCAGGGGCGCCCACGCCCTCAGCAGCTCACCTGAGCTGCAGGACGCCTGGGCCTGGTTGACTTGAGACTATGGGAGCAGGTGGACCTCAGGGCCCATCGGTGGACCCCAGACCTCCCGCCCCCGTCAGAGCCCTGGCTGCAGAGGGTCTCTGGCCGGCAGTGGGAACCAAGGCCCAGCGGCAGGCACACGCAACAGAGATTTTTCCAAAGATGAAACCAAAACCCCTCGATTCCTACTGTTTGCATCTGTTTTCAGCTCAGGAGGCTGAGCTGGTCCCCGGCCAGACCTGGGGCCACACAGGCCCTCTGCCCCCCACTGGCCCTGACCCTTGCCCAGCCCTGCAGCCACGCCCGTGTGCAGGCCTCACTCTGAGACGTGGGAGCGGCAGGCCCGTTCCTCATCCCTCGCCGGTACCGGCGCTCTCCACTGCGTTCCCTTGGGAGGGACTCAGAGGCCGCGGGCAGGGAGACCGGGCCTGGTGCCCACGCCTGGGGCCTCTGGGACTTCAGGGCACATTGCGGGCCCTCTTCTCCCACTGCCCCCCGCCCTGTGGGAGCTTCCCACCCGGGTCAGTGGTGGGACTGCCTGGGAGGGCGCCCTCCATGCACCAGCGGCTCCAGGTCAGAGCAGGGGCCCCCGTTCTGCAGGCGAGAGCGTGAAGCCCGGAGAGGGTCCTCGTGCTGCCCACTGCACAGCCGGCTCTGCCCGCCGGTTTCCGCGTTGGGCACCGGTCAGGGTGGCAGCGACCTTGGCGAGGGGCAAGCCTGTGCAAAACAGCTTCTCTTGTCTTTTAGGAGCTCTATAGGAAGGACTGCAATCTAGCGGCCCAGCTGCTGCAGTGCAGCCAGACGTACGGCAGGGGCCATAAGGTGTCCGAGGTAACGTGAGCCCCGCCCCGGCCAGGCCCACCGCCGCCCCTGCCACCACTCGGGTCCCCTTCCTCGCAGGTCCCACCCTTGAGAACGAAGCGGCTGGCTGCGCCCGAGGCCCCCTGGCCCTACTCGATCCTGGGGTGCCCTGGCCTCTCTGGGTACGTGGTGGAGGGACCGCCCCATACACACCTCCCCGCCAGCCCGGACAGCTGGCGCACCC